GCTGTCAGAAAAGTGATCCACACCACTCCCTCAACTGGATCGCCCACTGACATACAATCCCCTCAGTGTYTCAGGGTTGTCACCACTTGCGACCAATACCACTATGCCACCACTGTGTCGAGGCGTTGCCGCTGCAATATGCGGACAACACAACGTCAACACCACCTTAAAGCACACCCCCTTTTAATGAGGCTCCTCAAAATTGTCGTTGGTGCCATAAAAATCGGACAACATATTCACACCACCACTAAAAGAAACACCGATGCTGCCGCAAAATTTCGGCAGCGCTTCCACGCCACCGCTGAAAAACCCATCTGCCGCCGCAAAATTTCGGCAGCGCTTCCGCATCACCGCCGAAAAGCATAGCCGCCGCCGCAGAATTTCGGCATCGCTTCCGCGTCACCGCCAAAACGCACAGTTGCTGCCTCAAAATTTCGGCAGCGCTTCCACGCCACCGCCGAAAAACCCAGCTGCCGTCACAAAATTTCGGCAGCGTTTCGCGTCACCGCCGAAAAGCATAGTCGTCGCCGCAGAATTTCGGGATCGTTTCCGCTTCACCGCCAAAACGCACAGCTGCTGCCGCAAAATCGGCAGCGCTTCCACGCCACCGCCAAAAAAAGCACAGCGACCGTGCCCAGCGGACAACACCTCCCCTACACACTTTTCAAAACTGGATGCCGCCGCCGAAAGAGTCACGAAACATCTCCCCTATACTCTTCAGTCTACCAAGGTGGTGGCCATGGCAGCCTCCACCTCCACCTCTCACTCCCTCTTGTAGACCTCCTCCTTCGCCAACAACAGCTCCTCTCAGCTCTTCCTACTCCACCAGCAGTTCCCCCTCCAACAGCCAGCATTTACCAAGCGTAATGCCAGCAGCACCAGCCACAAATGAATGCTGGCTGGCTGGCTGCTGGCTTGTTTTATAGCTGGCTGGAGGCTGAGGGAAGTTGCTTTGCCTCCAGTTAAAACTCGGAGTCAGGCCTGGCCCTTGATCTCAAACGAGATCAAGGGTTGAAAAACTTTATGTTCCCCTAGGGGAACCAAGTTCCATGCCTTGGTAATGCATATGGCCTCCACCCCCGGCCAGACGCAGCCCTAAATGGCTGTATAGAGCCAAGTAAACCAGACTGTTGAAATCCAACAGTCTGCTGTCAACTTAGAGCCCAAAAGCTTCTACCCCCTGCATCTGGACCCGCGTCGCGATTAGATTCGCGGCTCCCCTTTTTTTTTTCTTTCTTTTCTTTTCTTTTTGACCCCCCTCCTCTTCGTTTTTCTCTGTGAGGGTGGCAACCCATCACTCAAAAATGAACAGGCGCCCCTCTGTCGTTTCACAGAGTCGAACTAGAGTCAAGCTCAATAGGGTCTTCTTTGCTACTGCCCTCACGCGCCCGTATCGGGACACCTACAGCGCCAGGTGCAGACGGCGGTCTGCAGCCTGTTGCTAAAACAACGGGTGCAGGTAAGTGGGTTTCTCTCTCTCTCTCTCTCTCTCTCTCTCTCTCTCTCTCTCTCTCTCTCTCTCTCTGAACTTAGCCGCTTAGGGCGGCAGATGCATTTGTCCATCCATAGATGGGCTGTCGAGGTTCAACCTCCTGATGAGTCGGTGGAAGTCCGACGAAACAGCATGTCTTAGTCATGCTTTTATTTCCTGCCCGTTCGTCCGAAACGAACGGGCACACAATCTCTCAAAAA